GCTACCAGATCCTGGCTTAAAAACTCTGTAATGCAGAAAAAATCGATATCATTCCTGACCATTACACATGCTCAGGCCTCTCAACGGAGAGGTCCCATATTACCTTACTATGTGTTCCTTTGAGGCCCCTTACCTGGCCCCTGTATGTCCACGGCTCCTGAATCAGTACTATGCCCAGATCGTCCGTAGAAAACCTGCTCACAATTACAGCCGAGGCCGCAACCGCGTGGAGCAGGTTGATCTGGGCTACTGACAAGGGCGGTGGGTGCCTCATAATTGCTCATCCAGGTTCGAGATCCTTAGTTCGCTCTCGCTTCCCCTGTCAAGCTCTAGCCTCCTCAAATCAATACCCTCGAGCAGCTCCTGCGTAGAGGGGACATTCCCCTGTATACTAGCTGCCGTGTCTCGCACATCGGTACCTCGTTCGTCGGAGGATTGGGCCAGAGGTGTCGGCTCAGAGCACCGCGCGCTCCCCTGACGTGGTTGCCTGTAAGGTTGCTACAGCCGGCAGACTTCCATCCACCTGCATAGCTTCCTCGCCTCCCTCCTTCTCTTCCGCAGCCTTCTGTCGTCGAGGCCGTATGGTGATAAAACTGAACCTGTAGTTCAGCTTGTACCCTGCCCTTCGGACATTGCTAAAAGAGTCCTCATCAATGCCGACGTTCAAACGCAGGCCGTTGTCCTCTATGCTGCTTGAGATTACGCGCCACGCTGGGGTGTTGAGACCCCCGTTTGCGCCCTTAGCAGCCCTAACGCATGTTCTGACGGTTTGTCCGCACTTCTCGGCAGGAAGATGGTCATGTTGTGCATGGGTGGGATATCATCTCCCCGTTTCACGCACAGCCGGGCCCCCCTTCCAGCTAACTAATTTCGGTGTGACCTCCTCTAGCCATTTAGCCGTGCCCTCACCTTTGCAGTCTACCTCGTCCATTATGGCGTCCTGTAGGGCAGTTAGCTCATCCGGACTCAGTGCCTCCGCAGGGTAGTCACAAGGCAGCACCGGAACCCTTATGCCCCTTAGTGCATCAGAGTAGTTAGGCGTTTTCCCTACGCCACTCTGAGAAGCCGCTGGCTCCAGATGCTTACCCCCGGGTCCCGATGTTGGAGGGGGTGGATACTCTCGCTGCTTCTTTGGGGCCGGAGTGTTTGGTGTTAACTGCCCGCTCTTCCGCTTCGCGGGTGCGGTCTCATCGGAGCCCTCCACCTTGTTGTCCTGGTTTCTGTGCCTCTCATCATAGCGACTATGCCCGCTCTTCCGCTTGTAAGCGGGTGCGGTCTCGCCAGTGTGCCTGTCGTGCCTACCCCCCTTAGCAAGGTGCTGTCCGTCACTTCGCTTCTCAGCGGGCGCCGGTTTATGACCCTCGCTGGTATGCCCGCTCTTCCGCCCAGCGGCGGATGCGGTCTGTTCGCGAGAGCCATACTGCCTGGTCTGCTGCTGATGCCCGCTCTTCCGCTCATTCGCGGGTTCGGTCGTACTGTCGTAGCGCTCAGAGTCCCGCTTACTCGACCCTTGTGGGGCCAATCTAGCGAGAACTAGCTCCCTAGCTACCTCGGGAGTCTTTCCTTGTTCAATGTACCTCACATAGTGCCTCGCCCCGGAGCCACTAAGCCCCAACCTCCTGGGGTCGGTCAGCGAACCGGGTTTCCCTGCGGGAGGAAGAGCTGGTGGATTCGCCCTTCTATCCAAGTGGCGTCCCTTCTCGTTCTTCACGGAGACGCGCGAGGTCGTCGATCCGTACTGACTAGGGGACCTGGTTCGCCCGCGAGAGGACTCGCTGTGGTACCTCCTTCTCCCACTACCGCTCGTGGTCTCAAGCCCACTGTCATCTCTCAGCGCCCTCTCGTGGAAGATGCCGCTGCTCGTAGAGGGTTCATCGTCCTCCCGCGCGTGCTCTAAAAAGAGTGCCGCTTCAGCATCGGAGAGGCCCTCTAGGAATCTCTTCCTCCGTTCCTGTTGCTTTGTACCTTTAGATTTCTCTTGTACCTTTTCTTGTGCTTTTGTGCTATTTGTGTTCCTAGTCTTGTAGTTGCTGTTGTTGTTAGCTTGTTGTTGTTGCTTGTTTGTACCTTGATTTTGCTTTTGTTGTTCATTTTTAGTTGTATTCATCTTGTTCGTACGACCGCAAGCCTGACCAGCCAGGCGTAGCAGTCTAAGTAGTTGTTGGGGATTTCATTCGTCCGCCACGACAGCGCCCCTTGCCGCAGTAAGGCCACCGTTACTCCTCGAGGCGGCCCGGTGTCGAGAAGGCGCCGTTAAAATACAGCCGGTTTTCCCTCCTGGTTGCAAACCGTCCAATTGGCACGGTGTCGCGTTACACCCTGCATTAGGAGGTGGCAGTTCTTGGTCGCTGTCCGCCCGCAGCCCTAAGCTGGAAAGAGGGTAGCGCAGAAGCTGAAAGCGTCTGCGTTACCCCAGTCCAGAGAAGGACTGAATGGAGGTTCAGCTAAGCCCCCGCACCAACGGCAAGGTGCCTGCCCTAGCGAGGGACGATGGTAAGTTACATTTGATCGTTTGTATTTCGTGTTTATCCATATATCTCATATATCTCATTCCTGTATATTTTAGAAATCCAACGAAAACTAGAGAGGAAATTTGGGATGAGTTAACATTGGCGATCAGCGCATTTGAACTTTTAGGGTATGTATATCTTTTTGTTCACCATTCTGTGCCCAAGACCCGAAGTTTCTTAGAAGACATTTTGCCAAAGTTGGCCGCAAATAGATTTCGCGAAATAGTTCGAATCTGCCCGAAAACATTGAATTCATTCTTAATTTAATAAAAGACGACGAATTTTTTAATGGCCCGCGCTCTTGTAAGAAATTATCCGTACAAACGCATCTCATGATCGCGCTATACCGTTTGGGTTCAAGTGGCGAAGGAGCAACCATAACAAGAATTGCAAGTATGTTTGGTGTAGGTAAACCATTTCAATAAAGTTTTCACTATTAGGATTTTATTTTATTTGCCTTTAGTACCCATTCGATGGAGTATTCCACAGTACTCTGAAGCTAAAAAACCAATTTTTATGCTGGCCGGGCGATCAGGACCGTAAACTCTAATTGCTGCAACCTCTCACGAGCTACCGTGTTGCATTGGCCATGTGGACGGAACGGAAGTTAAACTTGCCGAAAAACCTTCCCAGGATCCTGAAGCGTATTTTTCGCGAAAACATATTTACACTCTCAAAGTTCAGGCTGTCTGTGACGAGAAATAAAGAATACGTCGCATGGTACTTGGATATTCAGGCAGTGTTCATGACACGAGGGTCTACAACAACTGTCCTTGACTACTAACACCTCAGAAATGCTGAAAAAAGCGGAGTGGTTAGCTGGCGAAAGTAAACTCAAGAGAAGTCAGCCCACAACAACGAAATACTTTTAACAGAAACACAGTATATACAGTAATAAACCTTTTCGCAGTTTTTCACCAATTGGTCCCCAAAGAGAGATAAATCAACTGTCAAACTTTGTATGAAAATCTATTTAATCAAAGGTTATTACTTTATTAAACGATTTTGGTGATTAAACGTATACGTTTTAGCAAAATTCAACCCTGACAGACTGCCAAGATGTCGATTTTGCTACGAACACATAAAAATCAAATTAGCACAATAAAATGAAACGTAACTAGCCAGATGAGTTAAATAACAAATAAGTTTGTGCAATTATTTACGAAAGTGCGTTCATGAAAGCATGCGGATAAACCTATAATTTTAAGTAATTTATCCCTTTATCACTTTAGATGAAGACCCATATTGTTTAGAGCTGATATCAAGAATGATAGAATACAAGATTGCGCCGTCCGGGGCGTTGACATTTGTGTACCACAAGTAAACAAAGAATAGAGCGAAAAGAAGAACGAGTTGAAACAGCCAAAGCTGTTCACTTTACTGCGAAAAACGTGTTTTAATTTTGCTAAATGCGAAAATATTGCATTTTTCACCTAATCTATTAGAGAACAGTGAACATTTTAGTGCACTCCATTGCTTTGTAATTGAGGCTGTTTCAGCAAACGTTTTAGTGCACTCCCTTGCTTTGCAATTAAGGCTGCTGCAGTTTTCTGCGGGACTGATTAGTTAACTGCGTGGAGCAGAAACAAAATCATTGTGAGGAAATGATGTTAATATAATAATAGAGAAACATTTCGAAAACGGCTTTGCCGTGCCCTATGTATACAAAATGCACCGATTCGTCCAGCGCTACACTTGCATCCACGCTTCTTGCATCTTGACGGTTGTCGCAATTTAACACACAGCACTTCATTGTATTAGTTTTTACGCAGTCTTCAACTCAAAAATCACTCACAAATTGCAAATTAACACGATTTAAACTGATTTTTCACTTATAATTCAAATTTCTCTTTCGCTGGTTTGTAAACAAAGGTTTATTTACAAGTTACCACAACTGTCAAAATCGGCAAACCTAAAGTAGCGGTACTACTGACGGCGCCACCTTTGTTCGCTGCACCGTGAGCTGATATGCTGATTCAGGGCATGAATTGTGTTTTTTTGCGTTCCTCACGTTCTGTGTGCTTGTGGCACGTGTTGACACATATTTGACACTTGTGAGAGAGCAACTTATTTTTAAGCTCTAATTGCCGAATCTTCCCGGAAAACGTGTGGAACCAACCCTACAAGAATTGGGTGATGGAAATTATTACATTCTCAATTATCTTACTAACTCATTTGCCAATTTTGCGTTGGTTAAAAAAAGATACCATTAAATAAGGCCATATGTAGATAGAAGAGAGAAAATCACATGTATACATTTGTTTTTTTTTTTTTTAATTTTTTGCATATTGGCCTTAAAAACGTGATGGGAGTGTTTGAACGACATTTCCATCACTATTAAGAACACATGATTAATCAAATGACTATCACTGTTCTTGTGGGGAAGCTAATATTACATGATCCACTGTCAATAAATATCGCGCTCCTTGACCGTGTGACGGAGCCCTAAAGAAACCTTTGTTTAGAAATACTAAACTCCTATTTGATTGCATCTCTGCTGTCTTGGTCTTGTGACTTTTGTCAGCTGAATATTAAGTTAATCGCAGCATCGAAAAAAGTGATAAATTCGCGGACATTTCTTGAAAATTATTAGAATATTCCCGTGCATAATTTTATCTAAGTAAGCAAAAAAATGGCAGACGTTAAAGATTTAATAAATTTGCCCGATGATAATATTGGTAAGTATTCTTATTCTTTAGCGAAACATTTGTACATTTTCCAAAATGCAAATATCACCGATAATTAAAAATTAAAATAATTTTAAGATATGATAGCTGCCACTTCAGTACTGCAACAGCAGGCAGCTGATATACGTACCAGGACAATTAACTGGGCATCTTACATGCAGTCTCAGATGATATCACAAGAGGACTTTAATGCAATAAGCGCACTGGACACTGCCAAGGCTGCCTATCTTCAAAAAAATTCTGCACAAGCGGTGAAAACTTTATTGAATCTGCTCGCCCATGTTTCAAAATATCAGACGATACAATATATACTTGTGATGATCGATGATATGCTGCAAGAAGAACGTTCGCGTGTTCATTTCTTCCATGATTACGCAAAACAAAATAAAGAGTGTGCTTGGGGGCCTTTCCTTAACTTATTAAATCGTCAAGACGGTTTCATTGTAAACATGTCATCGCGTATTCTAGCAAAACTTGCTTGTTGGGGTCGGGAACTCATGCCTAAATCGGATTTGAACTTCTACTTGCAGTTCTTAAAGGATCAGCTGACCGTAAATGTAAGTTTTTTGCATACATAAGCCAATGCTTGTAAAATTGTAGAAATATGAAAATTTCTGATTCACTTGGACTTCAGTGTAGCGATGCATTGGAATTACTTACGAATGTTATATATACATATATCTTTCATTGTCATGGTTGCATGTATGTTCTAATGTTATATATTTTGCATGAGAATTGAGAAGTTTTTATATTACCGTTTTGCAAGTATCTTTGCTTTAGTTAACACAATTTAATGCATCTATTGATCTTTTGCAACAAATTTTATTAGTTATTTAAGCTTTATTAAGCTTAGAAATAAAGTGACAGTTATCGTTCGGTATTAAGGGCCTGGAGTACGGTTTAGTTATTTGCCCATTAATTTCGGCCTATTACGCCCAAATGTATGACCAGATCCGTAAAATTTTAACACGCACTTGTAGTGAAGGGTGTAAACTTTTAAACTAATTATGTAATTTTCGGTTAATAAATCATTAATTAACTATCAAATGCCCTGCTTGATTCGCAGCACCTGATAAGAACTTTTGCGTTGAACAATTATTATTTTAGGTTGAAAGCACTGAAGAACAGAACTTTCCATAGGCCAAAGATAATAGCGCTTGTTGTTGTTGTTGTTGTTGTAGCGGCTACAACAACCCCGCCCAGATCGGTTGATATCTCAGTCGTTGTCGTCAAGTTCCACTAACGGCAGACCTAGGAAGCGTGCAGCTTCTATCGGGTTGGTCCACAAGGACAAAGCCGTTAGGGTTGTCGGGTTTTCCGGGCATGCGAAGAGATGTTTCGAGTCATGTGGGGTCTCTCCGCATGCCGGACACTCATTTGGCACACCCTCATTCAATCTACTCAGGTTGGAGTTTAACCTGCTGCAGTAGCCAGAGCGGATTTGGGATATTGTCGTTCGTGCCTCCCGAGGCAGATGAAGCTCCGTCTCGTCTATGTCCAGTGGCGGTATTCCTAGAACGGAATTTACAGGTCTAGAGTCTACATAACTCGAGACTGACTCCCTGCTTGGTCAACCTCTGGACTTCGTCCGTCAGTTCATATAGATGCCTCCTGACGTGCCTAGCCGAGGGCTCCTCTGCAAGCAGCTGTCTGTTTGGGTGGCCACTTCTGTGGCTCCCGATCAGGAACTGCTTGCAAAGGATTATGTTGTGCTTCTTTATGGGGAGTATTTGTGCCTCGTTGTGGAGGTGATGTTCGGGCGACATCAGGAGGCATCCTGTCGCTGTCCTGAGTGCGGTGTTCTGTCCAGTCTGTAGCTTCGCCCACTGCGTCCTAATAGTCCCCAGCGATCACACTGGCGCTGCGTAGTTTAAAACCGGCCGGCCTACTGCCTTGTATGTTGCAAGCAAAGTTTTTTTTGTCTTTACCCCAAGTACTGCCGGCTAGCGACTTGAGGACCTTGTTGCGGCTCTGTACTTTATTGACAATAGCGGTTACGTGCGTAGAGAAGGAGAGCAGGCTGTCGAATGTTACTCCGAGTATTTTGGGTGTATTCACCGTCGGAATTGGTGTGTCATCGACGTAAATTCCCAGCGGTAGCCTCACCTTCGTCCAGGTTGTGAACAGGGTCGCAGAGGATTTCGTAGGGGAGAGGGCTAGACACTTTGCATTGAAGAAGCGGGAAAGTTCGTAGAGATACCCGTTTACTTTCGAACACAGGTCATCAATTCCATTCCCAGTCGCCATGATCGAGCAATCGTCGGCGTAAGAGACAATGGAGACTCCCTCCGGTGGTTGAGGGAGCTTTGAAATGTAAAAGTTAAACAGTAGCGGGGAAAGGACACCACCCTGTGAAACCCCCTGTTTTATTTTTCTAAGTTTACTCGATTTGTCTCTAAACATTACCGACGAGTGTCGACCACTTAGGTAATTTGCCGACCACCGTTTGAGCCTCTGTGGGAGAGAGGAAGCCTCTATATCTTCTAGTAGCGTGGAATGGCAGACGGTGTCAAACGCCTTTGACAAGTCCAACGCTACTAGAATCGTTCTCTCACAGGGACGGTTTCGGTTAAGGCCACGAGTTATCTGAGTATTTATGGCGTTAAGTGCTGTTGTTGTACTGTGCACTTTACGGAAACCATACTAATGCTTCGCTGGGGTCAAGTGGTTTGTGAAATACGGGAGCAGCAGGGCCTCGAGTGTCTTCGCTACCGGGGAAAGGAGTGTTATCGGCCGATAAGAATCTCCTTTGTTGGCAGGTTTCCCGGTTTGAGCAGTGTGACCACTCTCCCCACCTTCCAGATGTCTGGGATGATGAGAGTGGCCATAGACAAATTGAGGACCTCCGTTAGGTACGCTACCCCCGCAGGACCTAAATTTTGCAGCATCAGCATGCATATTCCGTCGGGACCCATGGCTTTGGAGGCTTTCGCCTTACCGATGGCCACCTGAACTTCACCGCAAGTGAAAGCAAGGGGGGCACAGGTTGTTGGCAGTTTGTGCAGCCTTCTGGTCACTCGACGCTTGGCTTTGTCCACCGGAGGATGCAGTATGAACTGCCGGCTAAAATAGCTCGCGCATCGCTCCGGGTCCGACGAAGCATGGTTGCCGAAAGAAATTTCGACTCTGTCGTCGTGCTTCGTCGGATTGGACAGTGACCTCACGGTTGACCAAAGCTTACTCACACCAGAGGTGAAATTACAGGTCTTCAGATGCTCTTCCCACTTCTTCCGCTTATGTACGTTTACTAGTTGCCGAATCTCCGTGTTGAGATCCCTGATTCGGGGATCTCCGGGATCGGCCTGACGAAGGCTATCACGCTCATCGGCTAGAATTGCCGCTTCGGCAGGGAAGTTTGGACGTGGGCCCGTTATACAGAGACGATCAAAACTGTAACATGTGTAACACTTTTTATTTCAGCCACCGCTATCTTTCCAAGTTCTAACGACGTTCATACTTTTGTTGTATATTCTTATTGGTACACCCCTACTCCCTCTCTCATAAAGATTTGAAGTCAATCCAACAACAATAATAAAACCAGCAGACAAAAATGTAAATTAAGGTATATATAACAGTTTTGCACTTAAATATTTTTAATAACTTTTTGACAGTTTTCACGAAAAAAAAGAATTGTTAACACAATGTTCAATTTACTTTTGCGTTTTTTAGTTCCTGGATGCAATTTGGCATACCTTATTTGTATCTCTGTAAAAATTATGGAGGTATAGCCTCCCATATATCCTTGTTTTGCTTTCATAGCTCATGTACTCCATTGGACGGACTTGCATACTTAGTAGGCTGCGCTTTTAGTTGATTTCGCAAATTTTCGATAAGATTCATATCCGCGGAGTGTGGGGGTCATTTCAAAATAGCAAATTTTTGCTGTTGCATCCAGTCTTTGCGAACATATGCAGTATGTTTTGGGTGATTTTTCAGCAGAAACTCTCATTTTTCGACTACATCTTGCAAATTTTGTTGAAATATGAAGAGATACTGTTCTTCACGCATAATGCGTACTAACGAACCAACAATATTTTTGAAATACAACCCTAAACTATTATTGACCAACCACTGAGATTCACAGTTTGCCTTACATGATGCGCTTAGGCTTAATTTGAGTCTTTGATCCAATACCATGCCCGGCCATCTGTTTGAAAGCGATTAATTTAGTCGTGTCAGACCAACTAACCTTCACTTAAATCTTAAAAATGTGTTTTTTTATTGCATTCTGTAAGGGCTAACATATCCCAATAGGCAACGGTCTGGTTATCGTGCGACCCGTGCGACATGTATTTTGATCAAAATGGTTTTTTCTACTTTTATTATGCCTTTGCGTTCAATTTGACAATTCTTCGCCTCGCGGTCTGTCTACTGATTTGAATTCATTTTAATACCTTAAGCGCTTCTGTAATAGTGGCTGCAGCGCTACTTGCTACTAAGTTCACAAGATATCGGACCGTAATATTTTTTGGCAGACTTCCTCTCTCCTTAATAACATTTTAGCCTATATTTTTTTCTCAGTCTTAACATTTTCATGTTGCGAGCTCCACAATTTTTTGCCACTTTTCCTACGGTCCCGCGCTTCCGCAGTAAATCTATTATTTGATGTTTCCTGATTAACGATATTATTTACTGGTAATCACTTTTTGAATAAATTACAGTACAGAAAAAAGTAATCTGACTTCCAACTAAGTAAAAGATAACTAAAATGCAAAACTGAGAGTGAGTGCAAAACTGTAACATTGGCCTTAATTTACATTTTTGCCAGCTGGTTTTATTATGGTTGTTGGATGGACTTCAAATCTTTATGAGAGAGGGAGTAGGGGTGTACCAATAAGAATATACAACAAAAGTATGAAAGTTTTTAGAACTTGGAAAGATAGCGGTGGCTAAAATAAAAAGTGTTACACCATGTTACAGTTTTGCTCGTCACTTACATCCTGCCGGTATCCAGCGAGCTGCAGCAGCAGTGACAGCCCTGCGGAACTTACGTGCACCGAGATGGACGTAGGTTGGTGTGGGAAGCGCAGTGAAGGTGTTTTCAGTAAACTCCGCGTAACCTTTCCAATTAGCGTTAGAGAAGTTGATATAGGTCCGGTGTTTAGCGGAGGCAAAATCGGTTAGTTTATCTATCGAGATGACTATGGGTAGATGGTCTGATGCTAAAGTCAGCATAGGTCGCCATGTTATGCTGTTTATCAGACCAGCGCTGACTATGGTGATTTCTGGCGAGCTGCTGCAGTTACCCATAATCCTGGTGGGTGCGTCGTCGTTCATTGTGCAGAGTGTCGAATCGTTTATCTGCTCAGCCAAGTCTGTTTCCTTACGATCGTTTGACAGGCTTGAGAGCCAAAGATCGTGGTGCGCATTAAAGTCACCTACTACCATACGGTTTTCACCTCTGAGGAGCGCACCTATATCAGGGTGATATCCTGCCGGGCAGCAGGTGACAGGGGGTATGTATATGTCAGATATTTCGAGCTCAACATCGCCTGACGGGATAGCAATGCCCTGACATTCTAGGGTGGTATCCCTGCGGTCGATGTCTGCCTCGATAAGACGATACTGCACGGTGTGGTGCGTGATGAACGCTAAGCCACC